CCCCTTACTCACACCTTCCATCTCCACCGCACCTCCTGTCGCCACATTATCGCCTAGCGAGGCATGATGCGCATCGTGTACGTGCAGCATGTTACCACCTTTCTCCACGTGGTTGGAACCACCGAATAACACGTCGATTTCTTCAAGCGATACTTTTTTCGTTTCGGGGACCAGGAACCAGACGTACAGCGCGAGGAAGATGTTGATGCTGAAGAAGAAGTAGAAAGTTTTACTGTGGGGGAGGGGTTAGTGATTTGGGGAAAGGAGAGGGAGGGGAGGGTACGCACAAGCCTTGGTTTTTCAAGAAGGTTGGGAAAAATTGTTGGAAAATGGAGTTTGCCACACTGTGTAATGTTAGTATTCTATATGATCATCTCAAGAGTAGACATAATAAGAGAACTCATAACTTACTTCTGCATCTGACTCGACATACCCACCGCCTGGGCTCTAACATTCATACTGAAAACCTCCGCGGTCCAGATCCACACCGTAGCACCCCAACTGGGTTTGTAGAACAGGATAAAGAGGAACAATAGGAACACAATCGAGATGGCAACAGAATGCGACTTTGAATCTCCATGGGCGCCAGTATTTGGAGTTAGGGTGCCCACGAGCGAGACGATCAACATACAAAGCGACATACCGATCGCACCCACAATAAGAAGGAATTTACGTCCAAAGCGATCAACAGTCCACACAGCATTCAGGGTGAAGAGAATACCAAAAGTAGCATTCAACGCATTAATCAACGCAATCGTGCTAGCATCAGGGAAAACCTTTTTATAAATCGCAGTACTGTATGTATTCAGTGTTCCTTGCCCGGTAAGTTGTTGACCAATGTTCAAGATGAAAGCTAGGATCAAACGTTTTCGGACCGAGCGATCTTTCCAGAGTGCAGAATAGGAGGAGGAAATGGCTTCTTTTTCGAACTCGAGAGCTTCGCGGATAACGAGGATTTCGTCTTCGACGTCTTGTTCTGTGGCACGCACGCGACGGAGGGCGGCGCGGGCATCTTCGACACGTCCGCCGTGCTGGATGTACCAACGGGGACTTTCGGGAATGAAGGGGAGGAGGGTGAGGATTATGATGGGGACGAGCATTTGGAAGATGACGACCATTTTCCAGTCTGTGGGGTGGGAGTGTTAGTTTGCGGTGGAGATGAGCTGATTTTGTCTTGAAGTGAAAGGATAGACAAGAGATGGTTAAACACGTCTGAAAAGTAAGAAACGTGAAAGTAAATAATGAGAGTCTTACCCCATTCTCCAAGCGTCTTAACATGTTTTTGACAGGCGAAGTTAATCCAATAGGCAATGAATGAACCGACTGAATAGAATAATTGCCACTGTAATAAGTCTATATTAGCATGCAATTCTGAGTTTCGCCAACTTTTGGCGCTGTGAAACTCACAAAGGCCATGATCTTTCCTCTAATCTCAGGTGGTGCAAGTTCACCAATATACACAGGTCCCGCCGCTGTTTATCTAATTAGCAGAAGCTTGAACAGAAGGGTTCAACAAACATACTCAATGCAACACCTTGACCAAGACCAATGATCACACGACCAGCGATAAAACATCCAAGTTGGCCTCGAGGAGAAAATGTTTGGATGAAAGTAGCGACAATAGTCACGAAGCAACCAATTGCCATACCCCATTTTCTACCAAGCCAATCTGCTACTGGACCACCGAGAAAGAATCCAGCGATAATAGCACCGACTGTATAGGCAGTATTGACAGCACCAATCTTTTCGGTATCCTTTGATTGTTTGTTAGACTGGATCAAATGCTGACTCTTTGATAGGGAAACATACCGGGTCGTTGAAGTAAGCTACCCAGTTCTTTGAGCCTTGTACGGAATTGTATACAGAGGCATCATATCCATATAGCACCATACATGATGCTGCGACGAGCGAGATATACCTGTGTATCGTTAGATCACTCTTACTGTCAACAAAGTACTGTAAACCTTACCAGTTGTACACTCTCGTCTTATCCGTGTTGAAGATCCCCATTTTGGTCAACTAGGACTCAGCCTTATGAGTTATAAATTGAAAGGTAGATCTCAATATCGATATTGATATTGATACAAGAGGAATGCTACGATGAAGAAGTGGAAAGAGTGTCAATTAAAAATGAAGGAGACAAGATCGACCGCTAGAACTTCTTACAAGGCTCCACCCACACTTCATTCGCATGTTGAGCAGTTTACGGTCGTATGTATATTCCTGCACATGGTCTCGATGCGACAAGGATGATAACCTACAAGGCCGTTTCCCGCATCCCATTCGAGCCCATTCTCAGCGATTTTAGTTCCCCCTTGAAGCTTATAACCATGAAGCTTACGCCAACGAAACTCGAAATGGCAAACGAACGAACGGGGAAAGAATAGCCCCAAGCTAGGGCATAATCTCGACCCAATGAACTTGGAGCTTTCCAACTTTAGCGGAATACAATTGCAATCCCCCCCATACTCCAGAAAAAGCTTCTGTGGTGGATCAATACAAGCGGACAATCCCGCATTTAGAAAATCCGCGAATCAAAGCAAATCGACAAAACAAGTGGTGGCTTTTATTTGCATTTCCACCTAAGAGACAAGAATAATCCCAAGCCTCTGGTTCGAAAATACCCTACCGAGATTTCAAACCTGCAACTCCACCAAGGAGGCATTTTCTCAGTCCACGGGATACATGGGATCTGGAACCGAAGTCTTTTACCCCAGTATATTACCCCAGTATCTTTTTTAAATTGCTTTCGACCGAGCGCACTAATGCATACTCATGTCCTTTTCAAATACCAACAGAAACTGACCGTTGGCACAGGCTCTTCTTCAAGTAAAACTTCCATGTTACACGTAATATGTTATCGGAGTAGATACTCATCATGGAAACTCCTAATGTATGCATATGTATGTGTATTCGAGTAAGTATCTGACTTGACAATATGAAATGGCGAAACATCCACCAATACCACCACACCATACTTGCGAGTGGCAATGTATGTACGAAGTATATTTTGGACTAGAGCCATTGATACATCTTCATTCCCTGCAATAATCCATACATAGTGGAGACTTGACTCCGGATGATCGATCGTAATGCGGGGTTAGTGTATTGGAGTGACAAACATACCTAGGTACAGTACCTAGACACGATTAATTAAGCGTTACGCCTGCTTTAAATTGCTACCCAAGTTTTCCCATTGTAATGTGTAAATAAATGAATTAACAAAGCGTTGAGATGCTGCTTATTTGTTGTTTGTTATGTGTCATGTGTCGTGTGTCATGTGTTATGTGTTACACCCAATTTCAAAGGATTCGATTGAATTTCTGGTCGTCTCAATACATCTACACAAATCCTTACCCATCTTACCAGTCTTTGAGGGGGTGGAGATCTCATCACCACCTTGAGAATATTTAATAAAGGATAAAGCCATATGAGCATCCAAAGTGAGTATTTACATGCGTGGAAATCGGCCAAATTCTGCAAGCTGCAGGTTACTTTTGATTTATGTACTCTCAACACAAAAACAAGGGGGTATTTCTGTGTTTCGTCCGAACGCCAAACACCAAATATATAACAGAGAAATTATTTGACATGTGAGCTGTGCAACAGGGTGATAACTGCTCTGGTGTACACTTCATATTCATGCACCGAAACTATTGCATAGCTCGAGTTGGTGGATGAGATGATATGCCATCAACCAAACAGATAAGTGCTGTATTGCATGGTATTCGCATGATTGCTATTGGTGCTTTAGCATGCGAAGATATTAATGTCCTACCAAAGAACCAAATGATCTTGATCTTGGAAATGAGAATCGCATCGTTTTTGAGGGTGTTCCATCACCTTCACCTCGATTATTTCGTCCGGCCGCGTCTTCGCATCCTCTGCAAATGCATACATAACAAGGTTCAAAATATCATCTTTGAATTCGTCTATGTTTGACTCCAATAGAGTTATGCCTGAATAGCGATCCCACGAATCAACTTCTTCTTCGCTTGGTATTCCTCTCACTAAAATGACTTTTCTCATGTGCGGAAAAGTCGAACGGAAACGAGTAATGCTTCCCAGAGCGCGAGATAGATGAAATGGAAGGCTGTAACCAGCTGCACCCCAGAATTGTTTAGCCAGAGCAATTGATTGAATCTGATGATGGTAGGGTAGAAATGGTGATTGGATAGAAAAGTGCTTTGCGATAGCCATCACTTCGTCCACATATTGTCTCGAACTGAAATATATAGTATCGCAAACGGGATTAAAGTAGATATCCGCTGGCTGTGTATCTGTACCGAATGACATATTGTAAGATTGGAGAGCAATTTTACGAGATTCTCTATTCGTATGAAGTATGGCCGGAGGTGGACCATAATTGACAAACTTCTTATCAACAATGTCGTAATTCAATTCTAGAATACGTTTGTGAAAAGCAGCAAGCTCCCATATCTGTACTCTCAGCTCCAAAGGGAGGTCAAGAAAGTGGGGAAATGTATTTTCAGGATTCATGATCGGATGAATGTCGCTGAGAGTATAATATAGGTATCGATAGGAGCTTTCGAAAGTCAGCAATCCTGAAGGAAAGGGGCGTACGGGGCGGCACGAGATCTTAGAGGTGTTGATACCAGACTGGGAGCCGGATTGGGAGCCGGATTGATGTATTGTCAGAGTTCAAACATTCCACACATATTTAGATGTCAATGATAATTCGCACTCTTGGATATTTGAGGTTGGCTGGAGTCGTAGGGAGTAGAATTTGATGTTGTTTTGCTGAAGGGAAAGGGACGGTATCTCGGTAACCTAGTACTAGCGTCATTTTCCTTGGCGGGATCACCAGGTGCAATATCAAAACAAGGGAATCACACTCAGACATCACGCATCATTGTTTTGTCATCGATTTTTGCAAAACCTACAAGCATAAAGCCCCTCGTACTCTCATGTTTTCATCTTGAGAGTCTTTGGATACCTATATATTGCTACTTGTTTTGCTTTTCTATTTGCTACTCACCATGGTAAGTAAAACGCCACGGAGGATTCCAAATGTTCTCATCTGACATCAGAAACAGGCAGACAAAGCTAGCTATTTCACACAGCTCTATGCTTTGAGTAATTCGGATTCAGATGAAGGAGAGCTCAATGAATCGCGAGAATTTTTGAAAAAATGCAATACTCCCATTTTGGATCCTCCATCACAAAGGAAGCGGAGTTTGCTACCTCCCTTACCGAAGGATCCAAATCTACTACCACCTCGAAAGCTACATAAACCGCTCTTAAAAAATGTTCCAACATTACAACGAAGTCATTCGGAGCCAAAGGGGAGTGTAAGTACGGTTAAGGATACGGCTGATGGTACGACGGAGAAGCTTTTTGAGTCACCTCGTAGAAGGTCTGGCCTTCGAAGCGAATCGCGTGCTACGGTTTCTACAGGTAGTTCTTTTGAAAAGGAAACTTCGTCGTCTTTAAGAAGTGCAGATGGCTCAGTAAAAAGACCAACTAAAGATCAACGCAGCATATCAAATCCAACATCAGCTACCTTGGTTCTTACCAATAGTACAGGAATCGCATCAATGCTTAGCAAAAAGAGAAAAGGAGATGCCCAGGAAAACGGGGCCAACAAAAAACCCACCAAGAAGAAAGAGAAACCTCTAAAGTTTGTTCCCCCAAAGGATCGGGTCTTCCAAGGTCTTAATTTTTTCTTCCTTCCTAACGATGATAAATCTCCAGTCAGGCGTTTTCGCATCATTAAAGCAAGAGAGCGCGGCGCAACATGGGTTAGAGATATAAACGAGCCCATCTCGCATCTTATCATTGATAACTCCTTGACGCGCAAGGATGTTGTGACCTACCTTGGAGTTCTTCCGGATAGAGCCAGTATGGTAAATGAGGAATGGTTATTAGATTGCATTGAACAGAAATTTCTCTATGAACCAACTGGGAAGAAATATCAGGTCAAAAATTCAGATGCAGTCATCGAAAAGAAGCAGGTGCCGATATCATCAACGTCACAGCAGTCACATGAATCTCTCCAATTGGAACCTCGTAACAGGAAACCTATAAGTGGGAGTATGTGCCTCTGAAGAAACACCTGAACGTGGTAAACGTTCAATACCAACCGTCAAACCGGTTCCTTTCCCGTCAACCTCAATTTCTAGATCACAGTTGCCGGAAACAGATCCAGATCGTTTGACAGAAGAGAGCTCACAGCACCTTAATCAAGTATCTTCTCCCAACCCACAATACGCAGACTTTGGTATACTAAATGAAGCAATCGAATTAGCCATGGCAACCGAAGGTGTACTCGATCATGACAATTCTGACGACGACCTAACATCAAATTTCAGTGAATTTGATGATACCATAGACGAATCAGATTCAGAAGATGGTCGTCGTTCCCCTCTGAAAGCTCCCACCAAAACCCGTCGAACAGCCCCTGCAGGCAAAGGAAGTCTAAGTAACTTCCAATGTATGACTGGGGGAACCGCCTCCGACGAACCCAATCCCAACGATCACACAATCCAAATCTTGTCACGAATGAAAGACTACTATGAAAGAATCGGCGATCAATGGCGTACCCGTTCCTACATGCAAGCATGCGGCCAACTCAAAAACCAACCCACCCTCATCCGTACCTTCTCCGAGGCCATCGTAATCCCCAAAATCGGCCAACGCATCGCCAAAAAAATCGAAGAAATAGTCCTCACCGGTCATCTCCGGCGTCTCGACCACGCAGAAGCAGAACCAGACGATAAAATCCTCAAACTCTTCATGGGTATCTATGGAGTAAACTACAAGCTCGCATCAAAATGGATTTCTCAAGGCCATCGCTCATTTGCCGATCTCAAAAACAACATCAAACTCACACCCAGTCAACAAATCGGCATCGAACACTACGATGATCTACAGCTCCGGATTCCCCGCCACGAAATCGAAGAACTGGGTAACTTCATCATCGAAACATCTAAAACCCTCGATCCCGAAATCGAAATCACAATCGGCGGTTCCTATCGTCGCGGCGCAAAATCATCCGGCGATATCGATATCATCATTTCCAAACCCCACACTACCAAAACAACACAACTAACACCCTTCCTCTCTTCTCTCGTGAAGTCTCTCACAGATTCCCACTTTTTAACTGCGGCGCTCGCCGTACCGCATAATAACGAAGGCTCAAAATGGCACGGATGTTGTGTTCTCCTATCTCCCTCTTCCTCTTCTCAACCCACCTCTCCCAACCCCTGGCGCCGCATCGATTTCCTCATCGTTCCTGCGTCCGAAATCGGCGCAGCACTCATCTATTTCACCGGTGACGATATTTTCAACCGAAGTATGCGTTTACTCGCTGGGAAAAAAGGGATGAGATTAAATCAGCGGGGCTTGTATAGAGATTTCATGAGAGGCGGGATGAAGGGAGGAAAGTGGGAGAGTAGGAAGAAAGTCACGGATGGGACGTTGGTAGAGGGGAGAGATGAGAGAGCGATTTTTGAGGCGTTGGGGGTGCCGTGGAGGGAGCCGTGGAGAGAATTTTGCATTAGGGGCCTGGTATGAAGGTAGAGGGCAGGGGACTTTTGTATGAGGACGAGGGGAGCTTGGTGCTTGTGAGCAGGCGGTGATGCATTTTTGATTTTGGAGAGGAAACATCCATCTTCATGTTTGGTTCAGGTTTAGGTTCAGCTTCCAAATCTGGGCATACTCATACAGGATATCGAATATGTGTCAGGAACCCAAGCTAGTATGTCACGATTGAGCTCAAAGGGAAGTTTTTGGGTAACGCTTGAAGATTCGTGGATCGGATGAAGAACTTACAGTACAGGGTGGAGTAAACATTGCATTGTTTTGTGATATCGCGCTAGGATATGCGATCTTGTGGGTTGGAGTCTAGGATTAGATGGTACCTTGTGCAATGGATGATATTGGTTTATTCATTTTGCATCATTGACCATTTATATAGTGGTCAGATAATGAATTACCTTCGGATACCTACCCATGTATGGGCGATAAAACAAAACGTGTGATGAGTCTTAAGAATTTGTACATGTATCTCTATTGCAATACATCAAGTGCAAAGCGATAATTCTGTTCATCTATCTACCTAGTAACTATCTACCTATCCCATTTCCCCATCCCACAACATCTCTTCCTCCCCTCCTCTACTCCTTTCCCCCCACCTCTAATCATCGCCCAATTCCTGCCCACCCCAAGCTCCCCCAAATCCACCTCCATACAATCCACCTCCCTAAACCCCGCGCGCACATACACCGGATACCCTGCGGCCGTCGCTTCCAAGTAAGTAATTTTCTCCTGAGCATCTGCGAGATTCGTGACAGTGGTGAGGAGGAGGGTGCCAAGGCCGAGTTTTTGGTAGCTGGGAGAGATGGAGAGGAAGTGGATTACTGGGGGTCGTTAGATGGGTGTTGGTGTGAAGTGGAATTGAAACGAGATTTCTATTCATGCTGTGCGAATGGAACGGACTGTAAAGGTACTATGAAAAGGATGGAAGCACTCGCTTAGGAAATATAGAGAGTAATGAAAGAAACAAAGAGTTGAGAAAAATGAAAGCGAGAAAAAAGTGACGTACAAAACATCTCCTCTCTCTTATACCACTTCTCTCTCAGCCTATCCCAGCCCCGTACCTTCGCCTCACAAACATCCAGCACCGAACCTTCCGGGAACTTTCCCTCTCCTCTCTCCATTCTCCCCCTCTCTTCCTTCTCCTCTTCTATTTTCTCCCGTTCTTTCTCTTCCCGACTCACCACACGCGGTTCGACCCAATGCATCCAGCCTGCCATATTCCCTGTGGAATTTTCCACAAGTTTCCAGGTGTGTGTGTGAGGTGTATGGAGATACTTGGTGAAGGCTTTGGCGAGCCAGGGGGTGAATACGGAGGGGGGGACTTGGGATGAGGGCCAGCGGGCTAGGCGGAAGGGGTCGTTTGCGAAAGCGAGGTCGTAGGTGGTGAGCATGGAGGGGAGGTCGGCGGGGGTGCAGGGGTGAATGGAGAAGGAGGGGTTGGGGGAGGAGGGGATGGGAATGGGGGTCATGATGAGGAGGTGGGGGGGTTGGAATGTGGTGAAGAGGAGGGGGGTTTGTGGGATGGGAAGTTTTGGGAGAATGGATGGGTTTGAGTATAAAATCTCGTTTTGAATATTTGGTGTTGAGTATACAGATATTATTAACGTTGTGAATGTGACGCGTTGTATGTTATAGAAAATACACGATTAATGATTATTTTGAGAATATACTTATACCTCCATGGCTCCTCCCACTTTCAGGGCAAGTAGCCTACCAATAATTAGTCTGATAATGACTCATCCGCTGAGATGATAGAGATATAAGTCGGATACCCCACTTTCTGGCCACCCCCCCTTTTAAGCCACTTTTTATACCAAAAATGGAATTTTTAACTTTTTTATTTATAGATAGAATTTATTAAAAATTTAGATATATATAATTTAAATCGATTTAAGCTTATTCTGAAATTTTCAGATTTTTAGGATTTTTCTGTATTGAGATTTAAAGCTTCAAAATATTGATTTTCAAATTTGTATAAGAATCTTATATGAATTTGAAACTTTTATAAAATCTTTAATAATTTTTTAATAAAAATTGTTAAAAATAAATTATAAAATTTTATCATAAACTTATAATATATTTAATTTAATAGATTCAGAAAAAATAGAAAATTTCTTTTAAATCAATATTTAAAAGAATATTCTCAAAATGCTAGAAATTATTTATATTATTTTAAATATATTATATATTATATTTCTGTCACGAGAGAACATGCCTATATAAACCCAATTAGCTTAATGCTGTTGGTGATATCACTTTTAGCGTGATAATTTCTATATTTGTTAATTTTTTTGAATCTTTTTTCAAATTTCTATATAGATTTAAGTTCAAAATTTTCAAAAATATATATAGTTTCCTTTTAATAATTGTTGTTAAAAGTTATTTAAGATTTTATAAAATTTCTAAATTTGTATATGATTTTTATATAAATTAAAAAATCGATATTTTAAAGCTTTAGATCTTAATATAGAAATATCCTAAAAATCTAAAATTTCAGAATAAGCTTAAATCGATTAAATTATATGTATATAAATTTTTATCAAATTATATTATATTGATAAAGATTTTAATAGGCTAAAAAAGTGATTTTTGGTGTAAAAGGGTGGCCCAAAACAGGGGTGGCCAGAAAGTAGGATACCCGACTTACCAGGCCCATAACAAATCCAACATCCAAACCCGAATTCCTTTCGGTGTTCATCAAGTAAGAGTTCTAGAACCTACTCACCGCACATATAACGCTTTTCTGGCTAAAATATACGATTATTCGACCTTTTATATCCTGATTTATTTATGATTATATAAGATGAAATTGAATATAGTGTGTGAACAAGGGTATTCACTTCAAAGGAATGACTTCAATACAATGGCTACTGTATCAATGGTATTAGGCGAATGCGAAAGAGACTAGCTCTTTCAGTAGTGCCTATTTAAGGCCTACTATTTTCCCACTTAGCTAGCTCTTTAGATAGAATACAATACAGACATTTAGGACCTACGAATACGTGGGTGCTACGTCTTCCGTATCCTTCTCGAACCAACATATAGTATTATAGAAAGATTTAGAATTACTTAAATTATCTATAAAAAAAATATATCATTTATTTTTAAATATTTTTGTAATAGTATTTTTAAAAAGTTAAAATTGAAAATTCGAAAAAATTCGAAAAATTTGCTTATTTTGTATAGGAAAAGCATTATAAGTTAAAAATTCTAAACTTTTTCAATTAAAAGCTTATATAACTTTTCAATAAAAATACTTAAAAATAAATTAGAAAATTTTATATATAAAGAATGATTCATATTATTTACTCAAAAGTTTTTGTAATTTAATATCAATACTTGAATTAATTATATAATATTTTAGTTTATATAAAAAAACATGAATTTTACAGGGATTTTGTCACATTTGTCACAGGGGTGCGGTAAGTAGGTTCCAGAACTCTTACATTTCAACATTGAAAAAAGAAAAATCGTGACTTGTGAGCAGTCAAACTCACACCCCACAACTCATCTTTTGACCCCATAACCTGCTATACGGAGTTTTGTCTCCCTATCCCGACGAATACATATTTCGGCATTCAGCCTTGTTGAAATGATTTATAAAACATGTCGCAATCATCATATTTAATGATTGATATGACTCTTTATCTCCAAAGTCTCATGCAAGCAATTATACTTGAAGCATGGATGAGATATATTACTCAATTAAAAAACGTTCCGCTTCGAGTCGAAGCCGATGTGCGTGATTGAATCCAATTTCGGAGGGTTTTATGACCGTTGAATCGGCGTTGACCCTCTTTCCCTACCTTCCTGGGTTCATTATCAATCAATTTTGAACGTTAGGAGAGAGGGGAATTTATTAATCTATTCATCATCAATCAGTGTTTAGATTCATACTGGCATATACTTTTGGTAATGATCATAGTAATGAATACCCTTTTTGACACATTATCAGAGTTGCAATGGGGGAATTGACTCCCTTTCGGAGAGAAAATATAACGGGGTATTTCCAATGCCCAATGTAGAAATCCGATGATTTTAATCTTATTTTATGAATTTGATGATCATGGTGATCCAAGTTCCTATTTTTCCCTTTTTTTCTTCTTCTACGGTGTGCTCTTCAAGTTCTAGATTTTGATTGCTTTGATGTTTCCTATGGAGTCAAATTTCAATTGTCCTTGAACTTCTTGAGTAAAGATTAACATCAGTGTCGTATATCAACGTGGCTTTACAAGGATGGGTCCGACAAGGGCTATTGTGTGGCCCCGGAATAGAAGGTGTTTTGTGCCTATAATAAGCCGGGTCTGAATGGGTTGTGTACCTTACAGTGGTCGGCCACTTGGTGGGACGAATTGAGAGCAAGAAATGATGCTGAATTGGGGGTTGTACATCGTACAGTTGCAATTGCAGAAACTTCTCTGTGTACCATCCGGAACTCCTTCATTGTCATGGGTGGGTGGGTAGAGAGGTAGTACTGTGTTCATACCAGCTTGACTTCCTAGTATGTAGCAAGAGCAAGAATGGACAGTTGCGAAGAAGGTTGCGAAGAAGAAGAAGAAGAAGAAGAAGAAGAAGAAGAGGAGGAGGAGGAGGAGGAGGAAGAGAAGAGAAGAAGAGAACAGAAGAAAGGAAGGAAAAGAAACCAAGAATCAACACATAAATGATAAAAAAGGATAAACATGACGGTAATATAAAAATCAAATCAAGCTCCGCCCTTCAAATTCCAGCTCCAGCTCCAATGCCAATAATTCCAATTCCACCTCCACTTTCACTACCGACGAAGATCATCGGGATACATAACACTATATGCTAGTCACTTTCCCAAGAGCAAGTGAGAAATTAACTTGTGGAACTTATTTGGACGGAGTGCGATGTGATAAGTCCCAAAGTCATATGAATCTCCATACAAAAGCACCCACGGAGAAATAATCTCGGTTCTCAGTGCAAGTTGTGAACCGTGAACTGTCCTTCAAAATACCTAGACACCCAAAGGATTCGCTACAGCAGTAGCACACAGTAGGTATCTAGGTAGTAGCTCCAACCCAGGATTAAATGCTAATACGGAGCAAGTAGATTGTACAGTCTGGCGTGGGGATATGCGAACAAATGCTCGATGCAAGATGCAAGATGGATGCAATGCATGCAATACTGTGCAGTATTGAAAGGGAAAAGGGAGAAATAAAAGTAATCATTATGACTAGGTAGGCTGGTAGGGCGATAATGAAGAGAGAGCATAGATAGATGGATAGATACCAGTAGCTTTCATAGACCTTTCTATCTCTCTCCCCTACACACACTTGATTCTCTTTCCTTTTCCTTTTCCATTTTGATCTCCTTCTCCTTCTCCTCCTTCTCCTTAAAATATCCAATTGTCAAATTTGGTAACTATTCACCATGAATATATGAATTGACTGCAACCTCGCACGACCGTGATATAGACCTAAAGAAAGCGGATGGCCCCTATCCCCGAATCCTACCATACCAACCCTCATAGCACACTCACCGGAAGCCCAATCGATGAATCAATAATCGCCGACTAACAAATAGTCTTACCAACAACCGCTGGCGCCCCAAAAAAACTGTCAAAATAAATATAGATATTTCATTGGATGGTCAGTGGTCAGACTCGGTACCTAACACATTGTTCCAAAGTTCCCAGCTCGAGAGGAGGGAAAAGACAAAAAAAGAACTTTGTTCAGCTCTCGTGGTAGTGCCTGGAACTAGGCCATCATGCAGAGTCAATCCTCCAGTACTACAGCAATCATGGTTTATCCACCTCGACCTGGTTCACAAAGTCCAACTTTAACTGAACCAGACATGATCCTCCCACTACATAATGAAACGAATTACGACTCAGAACCTTCATTGCGGCATACATCATTTCAATTTACTTCTTCGTCCGGGGATTCATGGCAGCGATCAAATTATTCAGAATATCTAGGTGGCCCGCCGCCTAGGACGCCCACCACGCCAATCATCTATGGGAATGGAACAATGTTATCAGATATAGGCGAGGTCACAGAGGTGGAAAGTACGCCAGGAAAGAAGTTACCCGGTCCTGCTGAACGGAGGTTCATCAAGCAGCAGCAGCTTCAAAATGGTCATCGCATAAGTTCAACATCATTGGGGCATGATTTGAGGAGGTCGGGAACCAAGACCGGAACGCACGAGAGGAAAATATCTGTGGAATCTGCTAGTACCGTCACGTCAGAACCACAATCGGCCATGTTTGGAGATATCGATGATACAGTCAGTGTAGATGATAGTAATTTCCAGGGTGATGATGAGGAGAGTGTGGCAGAATCATATACGGATCCTTATCGCAAGGAACTTGTGGAACAGGAGACACGCAGATTGTCGCGCAGGGAAGGGAATTTTGGAGAGGGGGAAGATGATCAGAATTCGAGTGCCGCTTTGAGTAGGAGAGCGGAACAGATTCTATTGAATGCCAAACGTCGACTCAACGTGAGTTTCATCAAGTCACAAAATGAGTTCATGCACTGATAATCGTCTCTTTAGAATATGGAAGGAAATTTAACCCGAGCGCGAAGCTCTCTTATTGTAACGCCATCGATTTCCATGCCTTCGATTTACAGTAGTAGTCCTTTAACCAATCCGTCTCTCCTAAAAGTCGATCGGCGCATCAGCGGTATTCCTTCGAGACAACGGTCGTTTTCCAATTTCCACACAGATTCAACTGCTTCGAGTCCTGGTCATTCGAGGGTCTGGAGCGAAAATAACATATCCCCTTCGCGAGCCACAGCATTTCCTGTTCGCGCCTCGAGCGCGGCAGCTACATACAGGGCTAGAAGTTCTATGGGATCGCATACACCAAAACCAGCATCGCCACTTTCTCCAGGAATGATCAAGGAGGAGAGCAATGAAAATGTAAGGCCAAGAGGATCCGGGCAATCTTCACCACATAGCAGGATTTCTCCATCACAACCATCGCATCTTGAACCCCTGGTCGAGGATGGCGTTCCTGAATTTGACGGCAGGACTAATGGCAGGACTGATACTGACAGAGAATATCCAACTACCCGAGAAGGACTTTTAAGTCGCTCTTCGTCAACTTCAAGCATAAGAATGCAGGATATACAACATCAAATGAGTGATTTGAAAGGAAGATTGTCCGCTTTGCGAGATCGTGCTAGAGATGATAATATGAAGCGTCGCAGTCTCCAAAGTTTACGTACTCCTAGTCCATTTACGGCAGGAGAACAGTGGTATAGTGGAGGTGTTAATGGTCAAGATGTCGTTCCCAAGACAGCTTCGGTAGTAGATCATGTTCAGTCGAATGGGATCCAAAATGGCGACCCTACGAAGAATGGATACACTGCACAACCGACCCAAGTATCTGCAAGACAAGCTCCAACCTATGCCGAATCGGATTCTACAAGTATATATGAAGATTTTGATGAGGGCCAGGTAAAGCCACCTGGGTTCCCTACCCATCAGAATCAAACACAAGTAGTTGAGGAGGAGGGCTATGATACTTGCTCAGAGGTGTCTGAAGTTTCAAGCAATGAAAGTTACAGTGACGGCCGTTCCGAATTTGACGAATTTGACAACGAGGACAACAGTGATGCATCAATTTATCACGAATCGGTAACCGAACAGGTATCACACGAAGATCGTGAAGATGCGTTCGATTATGAACATTTCTTCCTGTACAGCGCAATGGGTACGATGAGTCGAGAAAGACGAGGAAGCATTAGCTCAGAGGATTCTGTGGAAACAACTCGAGGACCTTCAGTTCCAATGCCACTGGTAGAGAATGGCCATGACCCCAATCAACGATTTTCCATGATACATCTTAGATCTGACAGTAATGCTTCGATTTCTACTCTAGCCACTTTTGCAACTGCCAAGTCAAACGTGGAGGATGATGAAGATAATGAAGATGAAGATCCTTTCGATTTAACTATTCCTATTACCGATACTCGTAAAATTGACGCCCCGGACTCACCCACAATCTCTCCTTATAAGCCAACTACGACCACTTCTATTGCAACCAAACGGTCTACATTTGGATCTTTACCCCCCAGGAATACCGTTATCAATGACTACAACGATATCGGAATAGCTCGAGGCTCCGGATTATACGATATTGATGTGATACCTGGCGTCCACTCCAGGAATCTTTCCCTAGACTCAGCGACCTCTGCCAGTACAACACGTAGCGTCCCTCTCTCCGTCAAACACAGAGAACAGCCCAGTGCCTTTACTCCACCTGGCACTGCCTCCAGCACCAATTCCCACCCAATCCGTTCTGATTCCCTTGAGAATAACCGCAGTCGTACACGGACCTCACCAGTACAGATGCTCTCCAAAGATGACCAACTTCTCGTCGAGCGGTTAGTAGCTAGCTTGGGAAAATGCGTTTTAGAATTGCAGGACACAGAAGCGGGGAATTACGATTCGAGAATTTGGAGACGGAGGTTGGATGCTGCAAGGAGGGTTTTGGATGGTGAAGAGGGGGCTATTTAATAGCCTGCGCTCTCATTCATTCTCTTTCTGGCCTTTTGATATCGTTTCGAGTCAAGGCTCCTTTGCCTTCTCCACCATGTCGCCACGCAAATGTCCACAACCTATTCATTTCATTTGTTAAATATTTTCTCTTAATTCTTTGGAGACAACGGGATGCCATCAATCAATATGGTGCTGGGGAATGGGTCGAGCAATAACGGCAATGGAACAACAGAAAAATGGGATACTCGCACATTTAAGACGGCACGCAATAATTTTAGGAGGGAGGGGAATATATTTACAAGGTCAAGCAGGGGTTTGTTGGTTGGTGGGCACTACTTATACTCAGTCGGGTATTTATTACCTCCCACAACACAACGTAATTATCTTACATTAATCTTTTTTCTTATAATTTTTTGGGGGCAAGGGGGAGGGTAGTTCGTTGGAGATTTGGAGAGGCTTCTTCTTCTTCTTTGATACCCCTGTTTTACTTATTTAGTTATATCTCATCTTCTGTTTACGCTGACAAAGGGAATGGAGGTGCGAGGAGACGAGACGGAAGAGCGGAAAAGAAAGTGGTGGATAGATAGATAGATAGAAATGCACGAAGAAATGAAGAATTACATGATCTGTGATTATATTGCAAAAGAAATCAAAACTGCACAGAATGCAGCAGAATATTTCACCAACGTGAGCTCAAGATATATGATAATGAACAAGAGTGTGCATGTTTGTGTATACCTCCGAGATGCTCATCACCTTTCCAGTAATCATAATCCTGCTTGCAAATCTCGAATCTCGAATCTCGAAACCATCAAGATCTCCCTCCATCAGGAGAAACCTTTCAACCCATCCATCGTCCTCCTTTCTCTCTCCTCTTTTACCTCACCATGATATACTCAATCATACAATCACCAGTTTCTTCTTCAAACATGTAAACCAGTGAACGAGTGAACGGTAGAATGCATTTTAATTCCAAACTCTCTAGCTAGTACTTAGCATCTAGCATTTCAACCCTATAAATCTATCTAAACGAATGACTAATACGAAAACAAAGCAAAACAAGACAAGACAAAAGAAACGAAACGAAACCACAAAAGAAGAGAGTATAGAAACAAGCTTCTGTAGAAAACACGACAATCTTCCTGCTCCATTCAAGCAAATATTGAATACCCCGCCATTCTCTCGCCACTTCACACTTTTCCTTCTTCCTTTTTTTTTTGGATTCTATGGATAGGGATATAATCCAGCGGAAATGAAAGGAAAGGAGAAACTTGTAATCTTCTTGTCGCGGTCCACCAACTCCCAATTAAAAAACGATAAACGAATGGCAGGTATCACAATCCCCATCTCCATCCATCTATTTTCAAAGAATACTCAATCGCTCCCCCACAACGGCATCCACACCCAAGCCTAACATCCACTAACACAAACAATACTAGACCTCCTCTCAAATTCGCCTCTTCTCTCATTCTCATCATTCTCCTCCTCCTCGACCGTCATCAACATCATCTCCACCTCATCACCCTTTCTCTCACCCTCTCCCATCTTCTTCACATTCACATTCTCCTTATCAACCTTCTCAACCTTCAACGGTTCAACCCTCTGAACATCCCTCCAACCACGCACCTCTTCAAATTCCTCTCCTCCCCCAAACTCCACCTTCTTCGCATTGCCATTTCCCGTCTTTAAGCCACCCCCCATCTCCACAATTCCGATATCCCTTCCATCCTTTCCATCCTTGCCACTCCTACACTCTAACATCGCCGGTTCTGGCTCCACAAGCGTATCACCACTAAGATTTCCCAATTTCATCAAACCACCCGCACCAGCAGCTGCAACATCAGCAGAACCACTATCCGAACCCCTCATACCCACCGCACTCCCCGACCCCTTCCCTACACTTCCAATCACCACTGTCTCCGTACTTCCACCCACGAACACATCTCCATTCTCGTCACTCGGTAATCCACTTGCCCTCCTTACCGTCGCCAGCTTTGCACTTGGCAATCTCAGCGTATCAATCCTATGATTATTTTTCCTCAACCCGTTTCCCACACTTCCAGCTTGTGCTTCTCTATCTGAGGCCGACGAATTGGTTCGACTCTTGAAACAGTTGTTACACAATTTTCTAACCCAACTCTGATTCGAATCCGAACTACCACTTGCGCAATTATTCTCCCTGGTACAAGCGACTAGACTACCCGAATGCTCTGGACTTAATTGTCTCAAGGGATCGTAAGCAGGCGGACCCCTAGCCCATCGATCTCCGTCCATTACATTTGTTGTATCTTTTTTGTTATTCCAAGGATAATTGTTGCACAAAGGTGTTGAATGTTGAATCATACCATTTGCATCGACAGTCCCGCTCATTTGTCTGAACGGCTGAGCTTTCGGACATGCAGCTCGATTAACACAAGTGATGATGAGGAATACAAGAGAACCAAATCCAGCTAGAAGTAGGAAAGCCATGATGAGTTTTAATCCGACATTTTTGTGTTTAACCGATTGGAGACACTGGTAGTGCTTAAATGTGTTTCCGAGAAAACGATCACAGTCGCTTGGTGTTTGTGGTACCCAATCTGCGGGCCAAAGGCCTCGACGATGACGGGCTGACGAAACTCCTGTAGTTGTAGGCCAAGGTCCAGGCGACTCATCAAAGCATTGAAGATTTCCTCGTAAGTCATTGATGCAGTGGCGGATGCGAGTTACTGTCTCCATGGGAGTTGGTTGTGCTGTAGCAGTTGATTGATTTGTTACATCTGGTTTTTCCGTTACACTGGGTTGTGGTGTGTCATTGGACTGGTTCGTGGTATTGAATTGTTGTGTATTGTTGGGCAGAGAGGCATGTGTTCCTTGCTTGTAGTCTGGTCTATATATACACAACCCATCATTAGTACGAACCCAGGGCGGCTCACATGAATCAGCTTGCCAACTTGGAGCAACATCAAGCTCTTCACGCTCTTCGCTTATAGATTCACCGCGTCGTTGCCGGATTGTCTTTCGAGGCCGGGACAATGGATCATGAGGATGCTTGCGTTCATAATTGGGATCAAAAAAGCACCGACCATCCATAGTACGAATCCAAGGGGGGTCACACTTTCCAACTGTGGCGGAAGGGTGAGTGTTAGTAGGGGAGATGGCGGTAGAGACAGAATTGGAACTAGAAGTATGTGTAGTAGTGGTAGTTGCAGGATGCTTTGATGACGATGTTGCAACAGAAAGTTTATGTTCTATGTTAGATGGAAGCCCGTTACTAGTCAGTGAAGAAAGAACCTGTGTCTTCTGGCCTTCAGCTTTATTACGACGTTGAAAGTTTAGCCCAACAAGCTCGAGAAATGATCTCCTCCAATCGGGATCGATACCATCACCAAGCCACATGCACCAGCCATCATCGTACTTCCAAGGAGATGGGCACGAAGAAGCCGGAAAGGCTGCACCCATGCAATCTTCTGCAATACCTGAATTTATGGACTCGACTGTATCAAGCCCTGAGTCAAATGGTGAATGAATTCCCGAATAGAATCCCGGATCTTCATCATCAGCCCACATTGTGCTTTCGGGAACACAGACACCGTTATCGTTTATGATCCAATGAAATGAGTCGTCCTGGACAGTGTTAGTTTCTTTGGCCTCGTTGCTCACACCATCATTGCGACGTTTTTTGCCCTGAAGATAATGACTTCTTTGTATCGGGTCCCCAAAATCCCAACGGCTTACTCGATGAGCCCCGATAGTAACACCAACCGTCATTGGTATGGACCCAAAACTCTGGACATGATGCAGCCTGAAAGGGTCTGGGTTCGAGTTTAGGTGGTCCATTTGTTTTCGCTTCACGACGCTGTTTTTCTGAAGATACCAATCTTTTAGAAGCGGCTGGATCATTGAAAATTTCCGGTCTGATCGTCCGGCGCCCAAAGCTACCCCGATAGATACACCAACCATCAGTGGTACGGACCCAACCGTGTCTACACCAATCTGCCTTATAGGGTCTATATTTGACACTGGTCTCCTCGTCTACTGCTGCTTCCCGTGATTGCTGTTTCCTATTGGGATCGACAGGTGGTGGCCTAACCAAAATAGAAATTGGTTTGTTCTCTGCTGGCTTGAGACCATTTACTAATCCTTTGGGGCATCTTCCATCGTTCTTGGCCCCACTATCGTAGGAACAAGTGTTGATGACCTCAGGCAGATGAGTAGAAGTGGGCATGAGCGTGTAGACTGAGGAAAGAGCAGTATTCTCATTCACGACCCAGGAGCGAGGTGTGGGTTGCCACTCATGAGAGACAAACCTTCCGCCGTACTTGCGTCGCTCCTGCCAAGAACAACGCCTTGAAATTACACGGTCGTCGTCTCTGATGAGAAGAGGCAATTGTCTGATACATTTCCCTCCATTCTTGCTTTTAATCTCTGGAGAACAATGCTGTAATTGTTCAATTTCGGACTTGGCTTGGTGCTTTGAGCCACCAAGTGAATAATCTCCATATTGAATGCTATCAGTAGTAGCATCAGTGACGTCCTCAGATCGTTCGACCTGTTCGCTAGCAGAAACATCTGTCAACTTTCCTAAAGTCGAGTCACGAATTCGTAATTGTTGAACAAGTAACTTCGCAGACTTCACAAAGCGAAGTGGAACATGAGTAACTTGGCGTTCAAGTTCAGTCGAGACATCAAACTTGGCAGGATGTTCCGGATTTTTAACAAGAACCTCGTCAGAATGATGTCCGTGTTTGTTACGAAGTGCTACTGTTGGTAAGAAAGCAATGCAAATAACGAGAGTAATAACGGTGATTTTTTAGGACGACTTGAAAGCTGTGTAGTAGTGCGAGTTGGTAGCCCGCTGCTCTGTATCGATACGACTAGGTGCCTTCGGTTTTCTTGGTCTGGAAATGTCAGAATGTATACTTTTAAAAAGAACACATTTACTCACGAAAGAACGGCGGCATCCTGACGGATGAACCAACTGGCTAGCTTATACTAGTAGAGTAAAAGTGATATGATAAGTAAAATACTTTTATAATGCTTTGAACGATATTTGTCTCCAAAGTTGTTAACAATACGACACAACCGTGTCTGGAAAATTGCGGATGAATAGAAGTTAGATGAAAGAAACAGAAAGATGTAGGCAAGTAGATTGAGACCCTAAGAAATAAATATTGAAACCTGGAACACGAAGAAGGCACGAGCAGCATGTTCGAGTGAACAGCTGAGAAACAGGGGTCACTCTTTCCATAGTAATCAGATTTTTCCATTATAGGAAGCTGCGAAGTTCAAGCGATGGTGATGTCATGGTTTATCGATAGATTGATACTTTACAAACCAAGTAAAAAGAAAGAATCCGTAGTTGACAATTGGTCAAGTACTTTATTTGTTCTACAAGCCGGGTGCTCCAGCTCCATGACCGGCTCCGCCAAATCCTGAAGCGTCCGGATATATTGGGTTCATATTTGGCCACTCATGCTTCATTTGATAAGTTCTATGATCGTAACCAGGTTGTGGTATATAATTCGGGCTGTGATCAATGGGAGACTCTTCTTTGATATATTGTTGCTGCTGCTGTTTTCTCCCGTGCAGGCTTGCGATGATTGGCTCGGCTCGAGTGTCGAAACTCGACAGAAGTGCCTTTGAATCCTCCCATCTTTGACCAAATGTCCTCAAAGTTTCCTTGATGTGGTTTATACAGTTGAGGCTCCGATCGATGTGATCAGATCCAGTGACTATCGGAAGAGACGGTGGTGGAGAGCTCGTTCCACCAGTGTTATATGAGCCATTGAATATCTGATCTTGACAGTCTGAAAGCACCGCCATTAACTGACTTCCAATGAAATAAACTCGTAGAGCATCATGATAGGTATAGAATGCCTTATTGATAGGATCTTGACTGATAGGAAAAATCTTTTGCATGTATGTTATGGCGTGGTCGAAGATCAAATTCTTTGCATAATCTGATACTACGTGAACTCGGCATGATGGGGCAAGACAATAAACGTAACTATAGAGTAATTCCAAGTCGAAGAAATCCTTGAAGGCAAGCGGGAGCGAATCAGGAAAGGAGTTAGACCAATCTCGCATTTCTTGACACATCTTCCAGAGATATGTTGAGCCTTGTGGCAATGGTTCTCGACTGGACTGAAACAGCTCTTGATACCAACTTGACTGAGCACGTCGTAATTGCCACAACAGATGTGCGGAATCCATGGAATGGGGGCCAACTATTGAATCCGCCTGACCCATCGGAGGGAGCGTGGGTGATACAGATGGATATTCAACGCTAGATGAATCGTCCGTGAAGGAAAAGGCTCTTGCATGAACCATACTGATAGATCTGGTTTCATTAACATCCACTGGTATTTTTTCAAATGAAGAGTTTCTGCTTACCGATCGAGCGAGTAGACGCAATAAAATATCCTCCTCCTCATATCTAATGCTTTTTTGTCTGGTTGTTGCTCTTTAGGCGGATCCTGATGAAATCCCAAATCCACAACTGCCCGACAAGCAAACCCCATCAACTGCCAGCTATCAAAGTGGGCTGGATCCAGCATTGCATACTGAACAAACAGTACCAAGGCCTGGATTTGGGAGACATGGCCAGGCATGAGAACATGATCAGCGTAGGCAAGAGCACGGCCAGCCCAAGAAACTCCCTCCTCATATTTGGAGTCTAAATAATTTCGGGATTGAGCGGTGGATGATATGGCTAAGACCATGTAGAATAGCCAATGCTCAAAATCAGTCACCGGCTGACTGCCACCCTGATAAATTTTATCTAATGCATTGAATAGAGCTGTCTCGGAGACAATTGGATATAGAGCAAAAATGTTATCGAGATAATATTGAATCGATGCTGTCGCCACAGATCTTAGTGGCAATTGTAGAGAATCTGATTCAGGCAATTCGTCATGGTTGGCCGCTGAAAGAATGAGTCTAGCAAATGTCATATTTGTTGTTGATGATTCAAAATCGCGCGTGGTAGCATGTACAGATCTACAATTGTTAGTATAAATCTCCCAAGTATGAGGAGCGTTGGTGTCTCACAGGAAACCAAAGTCGGAGACCAATTCATTCACATCAGCAGCCTCCCTCCTTCTAGCTGCTTTTCCATGAATCGCGGCTCTAATCGTAGCCAGAGAGTCCTTCCGGTCTGGCAATTCCGTTGGTGTATCAACATCATGCATCGCAACAGATGCTTTCCTCAACCGAGCGTATGCCAGGCGCTTCTCGAGTTTCTCGACTCGTGATTCAAGAGAAGCAACATAACTTTGACGGTTAGCTATGCAAGAATAATATTGCGATGATGTCTTACCTCCTTTCCTTCCCTTCGCAAACTGATCATTTGCACTTGAACATTCGTTCAGTCGTCCAGATTTTTCACACGCAGTACACGCAGGTAATTTCCCATCGCACTTCAAAAGGTGTTAGTGAATCTACGCTTGAGGTCGGAAGATTCAGACCTTGATTTTTGCGGCTCGACCTAGTATGTATTAGCCAATGGAGTTATACTTATTGGTAGATGGACTGACATCTTGAACATGCTGAGACTGGCCTAGATACTCGTAGGAGCGGGGTATCAGCGGCGCTTTGCCCGGCTCGACGCATCCTTACTCTAGCACTAGGTCTTTCAATATTCGGAAGTTTTAGGTGAAGAGTTTTGTTATTGATATGTCATACCCCTCTTACCATCAAGAGATAGCTACAGAACGTCAGTTGAATATAAGGCCTCGTGATTCAACTCATAATCCTGACTGGAAACGAAAGCTGCAGGTTCAAAGAAAGAGAGCCTATACTCCCAAGCACCTTTCGCAAGAGCATGCATGTTGCATATTATGCAAGGTACTACCTTCTCTCTCATGTAATTGCGTGACTCGGATAGAAATCTATCGCAGTGGCCATGGAGCCGGATCTAGATATTCACGAGGAAATAGCATAGGGTAAGACAGTTTCATGCACGAATGAATAACAGCAACCATTCCGTACTGAGATGGGTGTAGAGATCCACAAAGACAGACGAAAGTGGAATTACTCAACCCACCTTCTGAACAAGCGGAACTCTGGCCAACAAATTTGCTGTCTAAAATTGCAGCGGAAGTAAAAGTAGTAATCCGTCTGGATCGTCTCGCAGCGGGGTCCAAGGGTATAAGGGAGTTGCAATCAGGAAGGATTCATGCCCTTGTTTATCGATAGATGAATAGTACTTGCTGGCCGCCTTAATTACTCGACTTCCCGTTTATCATACACCGAGAAATGATTATTTTGAACGTCGAAAAAAAGTCGACTTTTGCCTCCACCAAATTAGCACGTCGCGCGTTCGAAAATTACTCTTTCACGATCCAACTTATATGTGTAGCCAAGAACCCAGAGGTAGCGGATTCGAGTCTAATGTGACTTGATGATGCTCGGAGGGTCCGAAAGACTTGCATCAAACTTTCCGCTGAAATGTGCACTTCGATAATGGATTGCTGCAGAATCCTTGAGTACAGTCGTTCCTTCGGTACTCGGTAAATCTTACGAGCAGGCAAAATTGGTGATTGTTGATCTTTTGATTTCTACGCCCCACTAGAGTGTACGGAGTAGGTGAAGTTGCAGGGCAAAAATTGGCAGGATAGTTGAAAAATAATTGAAAGAAAACAAAGACGCAAAGACACAAGGACAACCTTGGAGGTAAAGAAAGAAACGGCCGCTTATTCCTGCACGACCAGCTCTTATCGTGTCTCGAGCGTGTATCGTGCATCGGCATAGTGTAGAATGATGTGTAAGTCCTGATCCCGTGATCCAATAAAATGGATCGAGAAACATTACGAGTAACCTAACTGTAATGCAGTAAGTAGGTATATCTGCAGTCAAACCGTTCCAGAAGAAGCCAACGTCTATTACTTCTTTAGCCGATACCAATCACACCTACTTTCCAATAGTTCGGATTGTAATCCGACAATCAGAAGCTTTCAATCTCGAATCAATGATTAGGACGTTCAATGATTATGAAATCCCGGATTTACTTTGAATACCTAGGTAGGTATCGTAGGGACTGTGCTACTTTCAATCGCTGAGAGCGTGTATTCACTCTGTCAGTCCAGAATACTGGTCATCGTGATACCAATGGCTTGTCAGTTCCTCCCAAGGTGCATAACCTGCTAAATACATACAGCTTACCATCCGGCGCCTCATGGTTGTGAGCATGTGTTTCAATGGAGCATGATGATTGCTTTCTTCTGTTGTGTCGAACGGCAATACAATAAGACAGAGAAAGGAAGGAAAAGAGGATAGGAAGGGCGGCAGAAGGAAAGATTATGAACGAAGGAACACTACGGAGAGAAAGTCTTGGGGGTCTCGAGCTTTGGTATAATACTACAATAGCAAGCAATAATCCTTCGATAATCCAATTGTCCGATTGTGGCACATCATAACATCCACCCCTCAACGTCCCTCGGTAAGATATGTAATCATTCAAAAGGCTAGAATTTGGATGGAATACTTGATTACTTCAATATCTGAGAGTGAGTGTTCGCATACCATAAAACATTGCGATGTCGTTAGATTTCATTACCGACTATCCCTTGACATCAATTCGTTGGATTGATCATTGAACAAACTAGAACCTCGATCAGACTATCTTAATATCACGCAGGCCCTCGCTTTTCACATATAGGGAAGCGTCTGATTCGACAGGTGTGTTGACTACAATCTTCACCTCCTCTCCGTATGAGGTGACCAAGCTCTTATCAATACGAGCTGCAAGACCAATTCTCGAACTGAACTTTCGTACCCCCGATGAAGTATATCTGCGTATATAATTACAACTAGAACTCGAACAACATCACTTATCAGATGTGTCCTACATTAAGCAGGGGATTCTTTGTTTCTCGAGAGACACTTTGTATGCCCACCTGGTATGATAGATCAATATTCTTGCAATCCCGTGGTATCGACAAATCTGACCTATGAAGTAGAG